AAGTCGAGATGTTTGCCATTACAGTAAACGAGGTAGGGGAGGGGTCGCCCGTGTCAATTGTAAAATTCGCCAAAAAATTGCCGCAAAAGTTAGGTGACTTTCGAGGTTTGTGTTTCCTTGGAAACTGCAAATTTACACATTTTTTGGTGCCTTTGTCCAATGTATTTTTAGAATTTTAAAAAGGACAGTATAATAGGTGTAGGGAAAAAATATCCGTTGTACTTACAAGTATACCAAACCTGTGGCGGTGCGCGTAGGTAGCCCAATTCCATGTCGGATGTAACTAAAGAGTAGACGACCAATAAAATAAGATTTAGCATATCGGAGATGGCCAGTGAAAAGAGAGAGACGTTGACACTTTCCCGGAAACCTTGGCGCCAAAACACGGCCAGGTTGATCGCATTGGCGCCAAAACCAGCCACACACACGGGAACAGTCATCAGAAGTATGACGACACGGGCCATGTTAGGGCTCGGCAGAAGATTATTTTTTTCAGAGACAATCTCCCCACTTCTATTTCCAAGTAGTGTTAGCCAGAAGTGGTTTTGCAAGATCGTATCCGAGGACGAGTTTTGAAGCAACACTGTATGGCACATTTCGCTGCCAGTTCCCATTCCTTTCACACGGAGGCCTTCTCATTCTTGGAGGAAGTCATCGACACAATTATGATTATTTGCCTGCCACCACTATATATACAATAAGTCTTTGGCCGTGTAAATCGTTGTATTTATTTTCAATGTGTCTATTGTTTTAAGAGTGACGAGTGCACTAGAGGCTTTGATTGCGCGGATTACACTATAGTTGTTGCCCTTCGACAAGAATTGAGCATTTTTTTCTTTTAAAAATAAAGGATTAATCGTTGAGTCTTTATCTCATTTTCCTTCAGTCTACAACATTTTTCCTTAAAACGAAATTCAAACAAGTTCTAGAACACGATTACTCTATTATTAATCTATTGCAAAAGAAAACAGAGAGGTAAAGACTTTATGGCAAATATTAACCTCATAATTTTCTCGAAATAGCACAACTCTAGGGAGATACAGAAACCATGATGTGTTTATGTAGATCTATTGTAATTGTCGAGCGTAAGGCGGTAAGCGGCGAGTAAATATAAATGAGGCCCACGTGTGTAAATAAAATGTTGACACAGGTAGGAAAGCCAAATTGTGTACCTGTCAGTCAGTGAACTATCCACTCTGCGCGACATTATAATGTATGTAGAACGTGCCCTTCTGATGTTCTGGGTAAACAAGAAGTATGATGTTGTCCACATAACCATACACAATTATATGTAAAAACATATTATATCATAGGCTTATATCTTCTTTCTTTCTAGGCGTTGCCCGTCCCACTACAGGATGTAGCCATCCAACAACAGCCTACACTCCGTTACATCTGCTGTTCTCCGTGTCAAGGTTGTGTTTGTCCAAGTTTCATCTAACAGATGCTTCAGATGGTCACATACCTTCACTAAACCTTCCAACTCTATGTTTGCATAATTAATCTAACACAGTGCCTGGCATTTTTCCCCTCAATGTCAGAGTGACAGGGTTTTTAAATGGGGGAAAAAAGAAGAATGTATTTCCAATAGAAGAGTATGCCGTCCCTCTGCGTGTTAGTTCTGCAATGAGGGTGTCGATAATCGGCCAAAATGACTAAATTTTGAATTTTTCTCTGACGCTGGGAAGCACTTCTTCCCTTGATGTCATCTTGTCACATTCTTACAGCTTCTGGTCTTCCACCTGATCGTTTTCCTGTTTTGGTCTCCATTCGGTGCGTCTTTTTGTCCACTCGTTACAGTGTACTCTACTGATGTTGCAAGCCCATTTATTATTTTTTTTGGGAGTGTAAAGTTTGTGGTGTTTGTCACTCCTGTTTTCTCTCTCTTATTTTGTGTGCTTTGTTTAATCTTGTATTCTTATGCCCAGCATCTTCCTTTCCGTAGCTCTTTGTATTGTCCTTAGTTTCTTTATAATATTTCTGGCAAATAACCAAGTTTGACATCCATAGCTAATTACTGGAAGAAGGCACTGATTGAAAACTTGTGTTCTCAGTGATCTCGACAGATTTTGATCGGTAAATATTTCTCTGTATCTTCTATAGCAGCCCCAAGCCGTATGTATCCTTCTAGCTGTTCACTACAGTTTTTGCTCTCTCCTTCATACTTATTGTTTGACCTGGGTATTTGTATTCTGTCAATTTTTCAAAATTACTGTTTACAAATAATTAAGTAAAAAAAACCCCCAAACCAAACAAAACAAAGCAAAAACAAAAACAAAGAAGAACAACCCCCACAAAACCACACGCAAAACAAAACAAAACAAAAACCAACTACAAAAACCAACCCGTGAATCTGACTTGAAATCAAGAGGTAGACCAAGAAGGACCTGGCTTGAAGGGGTTAAAAATGTCCTGGAACAATATGCCATATCTATCAGTAGACGCAACACATTTAGCACAGGACTGAAACCTGCACTTCCCCTCGACATTCTAAAGGTACCAGAGGAGAGAAAAGGTAAAAATAAGTACCTTAGTAACCTTTTATATTGACAGGTACAGTACTATCGAGCACTTTGTCTTCTGGGGTAAGGACGAATGTTTTTTTTTTCTCTCCCTCTTTAGGCGGTTTCCTCCGATGGCAGAATTACATGTTTTATCTCTCGCCAGGATATCTAAGGGACATGACCCAACCATTCAGAGACACACAGAGTATCTTTTCCAACGATTGCTGCCCCTTATTCTTCTTCTGTTTTACTGGATCAGTGTTTGGACTCTGTTAATTCTTCGACAAAAAATGAAAATGGACTGACTACATCGCTAGAACGAAGGATAACCGCGATGGACACAAAGGTACAGCGATCAGAGACCAATA